ACTTTTTAAGCTGTCTCCTATATTCAACAAATAAATTCCCGGGAACTCAGAGTGTTAAAGCCACAGACAGATTTAATGAAACAAAAAGGCAGCAACGTTTCGACCTTCTAAGAGGTCTTTTTCAAACTAACACCACAGAACAAACATAAGTGTATATATAGCAAGTAATGCCAAGGAAAAGGTCAAACAATAATTCACTTAAGTGAAAGTTATTAAAGGACCACTATAGTGCCAGGAAAACATACGAGTTTTCCAGGCACTATAGTGCCCTGAGGGTGCCCCCACCCTCAGGGACCCCCTCCCGCCGGGCTGGATGACGAGGAAAGGGTTAAAACGTACCTTTTTTCCAGCGCCGGACGGGGAGCTCTCCTCCTCCTCTCCGCCTCCTCTCCTCTCCTCCCCTTCGGCTGAATGCGCATGCGCGGCAGGAGCTGCGCGCGCATTCAGCCAGTCTCATAGCAAAGCATTCACAATGCTTTCCTATAGACGCTGGTGTCTTCTCACTGTGATTTTCACAGTGAGAAGCACGCAAACGCCTCTAGCGGCTGTCAATGAGACAGCCACTAGAGGATTTAGAGGCTGGATTAACTCATTTATAAACATAGCAGTTTCTCTGTTTTTCTACAAAATATATCTATAAATACAATATATACAACAATGCATAACTTACACTTATGTGCCAAAGGAGGGAGAGACAAGAGATAATAATAAATAATCTCCTAGATTCAAAGCATATTTGTCAAGCCCTGCATTACTGTGCGCATTATTTCTGTGGACCCAGATTGTGATTGTATGTGTGTTGCTGGCTGGGTGTGTCATTCTTACCAATTCCAAGGCTCCTCACTGCTCTGGCAATATTTTGGGCACTGCATGCTGCTTATGTGCAGCTATTTATATACATTCTTTGCCACATCTGAATGGTGTCCCCTAGACCTATTTGGCTCATGCGAATGAAGTAGCGAGTGACGCAAAATTGGCAATCTAACAGCCTTGCGTCTTCTGGCGCTCCCCTATGACGTTGTCCAATCTTAAAAGAGCTACACGTATTGAAATCCAGGCCTTTCTCGTCCCAATCGCCCTGTTGTTGTTTTTGTCTAGTCTAATAGTGTGTTTATGATATATCTGATCTCTTTATTATTGATTATCATTTGAACTCTAGTTATGGGCATACGATAGGCCACTCTTGTTTTGGGCATTTGGGTATAAAATAGTTATTTGTTATTAATAGTTAATCTGAGTTAGAATTTTATTTGTTTTATGTAATTTTCCTTTCTATGTAAGCCAGACATTTTCACATACTTGTTCTGATAATGTACAAACATTTGCAGTGTGTTTAGTGAATAAGGTCAGTCAGCTCCGAGAATCTTCTCAAAGTGCCTAATAATCAGAATTGCCTTGTAAGACGGCAAAATATTATCTTATCTGGCAAAGCATGTTTTATTTTTATTAGCTTAGGAATCTTAACTCACACTTATATATGAAGGTTAACTTTAAATATTACTTTAGTACAATGACATAATCATTACGTGGTATGTAGAACGCCATAAGATTATCATAATTAGCTTACATATTGAAATGTATTAAGATCTATGAATTACTAGTCTATATAAAGAATCTTATGTATAAACAATTTGCATCAGATTTTCTTCTTGATCTCTATGGATATATACTAAATCTAAAATTAACATTGGTATGTTTTATTTTTTTATTTACATGTATTCCAGACTATATAATGTTAAAAACACCATCTAGCCCCCCTGGCCTCTACTTACCCCCCTAAATATAGTAAAATATTACTTTTAGTCCAGTCTGCTGCTGGCTGTACCCATAATCTGCCTTCTTGGGTGACATCATCAGAAGTGTTGAACTGAGCCAATCACAATTCTTTCCCATAGGCCAAGAACATCCCTGGCCAATCAGCATCTCCTCATAGAGATGCATTGAATCAATTCACCACTATGAGCAACGTTCAGTGTCTCCACGCAGCCCCAGAAAGCACCTTTAGTAGCCATATGAGGAGTGGCCAGTGGAGGTATCCCTAGGCTTTAATATAAACACTGCCTTTTTTTCTGAAAAGATAGGGTTTACTTCAAAAAGCCTGCAAGGAATGATTATACTCACCAGAACACATACAGTAAGCTGTAGTTGTTCTGGTGACTATAGTGTCCCTTTAATTATTACTCTGGTTTTTGTGTTTGTAACCTTTGCTTATTTTTTTCAACGTATTTTAATAAATATAATAAAACTTTTGTATGTGAACTTTCTTACAGCCCTTTTCTGAAAATATTGGAATGGTGTTGCTTATTCTTGTTTAATAACAGAATAGGACTATTTCCTACACACAAAACATTGGAGTTTAATGCACCAACATGAGTTTGTTAGTAATTTTTCTCAAAGACATTGTGTGGTGCACAAAAGGTGACCTGTTACAATATCGCCCAACGTGAGACAAGAGTTAAGAATAATTCACACAATTACTTTTTATATACGCGAGTCCCCTTAAGGGAAGGTACTTTTTATATAATGGCTGTTGTTTTAAACCCTGTTTAATTTAGTGAATTGTTTAATGCACAGCATGGCACAGTCTTACTGCATAATGATGTTATTATGTTAGAAGTCCAGTACTGGCCATGGGGTCAAGGGATAGATACACTATATAAATGCAATTTACTGATGACAGTAGACAAGCCCTAGACAGACCAAAGTTTATATCAAGGGATATTGATTATGCAGAAAAGAATCCTATTGTTAACATGACAATGGATGATACTCTTAGAATTTTTGGGAACCTACCCAACATTCGAAAGAACATAAGGAGACAAGGACCATTAGCTAGAACTGACAGATGGGAGTCACCATGTAAAGAATTGTATAATCCTGTATTACAGGAAGAGCTCCCAGGACAGAGACGTGCTTTAACAGGTGCAGAGGAAAGGAGACTACTACGGGAAGAGATAGCTGTTGTTAGCGACATACTGAAACAGTCACTTAACAGAGGCACTGTTATTACTGTAATCCCTTATGGACTAAGAGCTCCTGTAAATTCTGGTATTCCAATGTCAAACATAGGAGCCACAATAGGAGAATCCTCTACTAACTTGATAGACATACCGCTATGCCTAAACAACAGTATAAACTTTTTAGATGGGGTCTATCAAACACCCTGACCAACAAAGAAAAAAAGGCTTATCAATGAATTCCTACAACAAGGACTTTTAATATCTTTAAAAGGTTCTAGAGATTGGAATTCCGTGATAAGATCACTTTATGGTAAAACACATGGCACTTTAACTCTTTTATCACTTTCTGACACACAAGTTATTAAACAAAGTGACATTTTAGCTGCATATTTAGTAGGATATACATCTACAGGAAATAATCATGATATGGTATGGGAATGCCTAAAACCTTCAGTAAAAGGTCATGGATTAATTCTTGATATGGAAAGACCAGTTAAAGCATTGCCAGCACCAGAGAGACATTTGAAAATGCCAGATATTTTAAAACCAAATTATATTCTTTTAGGGAAACAGTTAAATGGAGAAAATGAAAAGAATTCCAAATCCAGAAACGAGGCTAAAAAGACTAAAGTTTCCAATGGAAGAGGAGGAAGTTTTAATCAACATAGGAAATCTTCCTCATCGTGAAGGATTGCTGGAGGAACATCTGACAGACCCTCTACGCAGTATCGGGAACAGACTAAAGAGAGCAGAAACAATACAACCTAAACCAATTTCAGGAGAAGGACAGAGAAGCCAGGAATGTCAAGAAAGATATGGTCCATTATGGGTAGACCGGAGGAGAAACTAAATATAGAAGTAAGGGAGCCACAGGTGTCCAATTTAAACAGAATGAAGATGCAACACCTATCACTATCCCAGCTGCTACAAAGGGGGTAGGGAAGGTGAAGCCTGTAGATCTAGTTCAGGAGGAGGATTCAGAATCATCTCCTGAGTAAGAACGAAGTCTTCGATCAAGATTGTGAATATGAAGGATACTCAAACAGATGTATCTCTAGTTCAAAAATGTTTCTCACTTTAAGAATCACAAGGAAATATAATTAAAACTTAGGACGGTGAAGGGTCATATCATTCTTTTTACACCACTATGAAAATTAACTGTCAAACTCTATCTTTAGAATTAGTTGAACACGCTAACTTATATTTTCCTTTTCTTATTGCTTATAAAGAAGTAGCACATTTTGTAAATAAATTGCTCAGAATGCACAAATTTAATTAACTGTAAAAATAAATATAGATGCTTCATTGCAAGAACAACTTAGAGAGAATGCATTCCGTACACCACATAAGTTGGAGACATGCTTAAAAACAAACATACTCATTTTCCAGAAATGGGATAATCACACAAGACATAGGATGGGTATCAGCAATCACATTGCTACTGGGACTTTAAAGGACCACTCTAGGCACCCAGACCACTTCAGCTTAATGAAGTGGTCTGGGTGCCAGGTCCCTCTAGGATTAACCCCTTTTTTTATAAACATAGCAGTTTCTCTTTATAAATGGGTTAATCCAGCCTCCAAATCCTCTAGTGGCTGTCTCATTGACAGCCGCTAGAGGCGCTTGCGTGCTTCTCACTGTGAAAATCACTGTGAGAACACGCAAGCGTCCATAGGAAAGCATTGTAAATGCATTGTAAATGCTTTCCTATGAGATCGGCTGAATGCGCGCACAGCTCCTGCCGCACATGCGCATTCAGCCGAAGAGGAGGATCGGAGGCGGAGAGGAGGAGGAGAGCTACCCGCCCGGTGCTGGAATAAAGGTAAGTTTAACCCCTTTCCTTGCCATCCAGCCCGGCGGGAGGGGGACCCTGAGGGTGGGGGCATTATAGTGGTCCTTTAACTCCAAAAAATCAGGAACAGTATAGGATTAACTAGCTCGCTGTACCCAGGGCCGGACTCGGGGTACAAAGCAGCTCTGGAAAAAAAAATCTATGCCAGTCCCATAAGTCATTGTGCCATGTAATGTGTGTAATATATAGACATATATAGAAAAGATTCCAGGTAGCACTCCCAGGACTTGTCAAAAAGTAAAACTTTTATTTAGCTTCAAACAAAACAATGAATGTTTCAGTTTGTTATACACAAACTTTCATCAGAGTCCTGATGACAGTTTGTGTATAACAAACTAAAACATTGATTGTTTAATGTAAAGCTAATTAAAAGCTAAGTTTTACTTTTTTGACAATCCCTGGGAGTGCTATCTAGAATCTTTTCTATGGATTTGGCTTAACAAGCACCAGGCAAGTATTTGGATACATGGAGTGCAAGATTCTTTTTCTATTTTATATACATATATATTACACACAATACATATATATATATATAGCGTATGAAGTCGGCTGCACTCTTGTCTTCAAAATTTCAAATATTTATTGAATCAAAGAAATAAAAATGATCAACGTTGCACTTTCCTCAAGATCAAAACATACAATGCATACACATAACAAACTGCTGTAATATATACCCGTACATAAATAGAGTAATTGACTCACCCCAGCTGTCATGCATCACTCCCGGGGTCTCCCAGTGTGCACCACGCCGTGATGACGTGTAGCCGTCTATTCCGTTACCATGGCGACGCGGGATAACGCTATGTCGCCATGGCAGTCTGTAAACAGCCTATAAACAACAATTGGCTTTCTATGGTATTATGGGGGAATTATATTTACAGACTCATGGACATTAAAAATCATTAGAATAGAAGTAAATTATCAAAAAACATTGTGTTGTATTTAAGTTCTAGCATCATTCTCTGTATCCACAAACGAGCTTAATAACTGCTCTTAAAGTGAAAGGACTCTATATACATGTGTATATTTAAATTCAATGATAATAAAGTGCATATACCGTGTCTGTATTATCAATCTGATATTACTTTCCATAAAGTGCCTTAGTGCTATGTGCTACTAAACTAAATTGCTAATTGAAGTACTATATAGTGAAAAATTAGTGATCAGATGTAAACTTGTATCCTAATTATTATAAAGTGCAATTATATGCATTTTAACGAGAAGTTTAGTGAAAGTGGTCTATTAAAGTGCATTATGTCTATGTTTAAGTGATACTGATGCTAAATGTATATACAATTTCAAGAATTAAAACATGTAATGCTATATAGTGAATGATAAAAAAAATATTCTTCAGAACAGATTGGAGCATGTTTAGAGAACTGAATGATAAGGTATAGTCTAATTTAGTCCCTTAGGGGCTACTGTATCCAATTCGTGCATCCAGTAGGCTTCCCTGTTGAGCAGCATTTTGTGCCTATCACCACCTCTTCTTGGTTGAGGGACGTGGTCAATTCCCACAAATTTTAAAGCTGTCAAAGGATGTTGTAATTGTGGAAAGTGTTTTACAACTGGTTTACCTGAATGTAAGTCTCTGTACGCCAATCTTATGCAGGAGCGTCACTTACATTAGTCACTTACTAACTAATGCAGTGTAACGGACCGTTTTGCACAAAAGGGGAAAAAAACGTTTAGGCGATTGGCCCCCTTTCCAGAGATGCAGGCACAGCTACGGCAGAACACCAAACTCCCGAACTGGATACAAAATAGCACTCCAACTCCCGAACTGGAACCTCCCAAATAGCTGCTAGCAGACGAACAGGAAAAGCAGACAATCAGCTTGCACTCCTGGCAATCAGTCTCTAACAGCATACAGTGAATCCCCCTAAGAATGAGACAAGGCTCAGTGTTGAGGGTCAAGCAGTATTTATGCAGGTCTCCCACCTGGTGGACACTCCCCTAGGGGACCAAATGGGAGACTGTGACAAGGGACAGACAAGCAGACAAATAGGACACACAGTCACATTATATTCCCACAATGCATCCTGGCTTCCTCCCCTCTGCCCTGGGAGATAATTGAGAAGTAATTCAATTATCTCCCAAGACAAAGGCAAATCTCCATTATGCACATGGGGATACTAAAACAAGCATTACTGTTAAAATACACCAGGTAAGACACATTACATTAAAACTATACATTTAACATATCCCCAGATAGCTCAGGTCTGAGTGCACATTATTAAGTGAATGGCGCTCAGACCACACAAATACAGTTTAATCGCCATAGAGCCAAAGTCTTTACAGTCAGTTTCATACGAATGGGCTCCATGGGATTCCTATCTGGGGTATAACACATTCAAACAAAACTACCGAACACCGGGCCGTTTGTGCACTTCCACCGAACAAGAAGGGAGGTCGGCGGCTTCAGCGGTGTTCGCGCAAAACTGTGTCCGATTTTAGTACCATGAAAATAGAGACGAACACCGCTGTGCATTCGTATGTTTAAAATGGCCGCGACCTCGTGTTCGGGATACGAATGGCGGCCACCCAGCATTCGTCAATTAAGCTGCGGTTAACCGCAGCTTCAGGGAGGTTAATTGCTGGCACACTCCAGCTCCCAGGTGGTCTATTCATTCGTGCGGTTGTTCGGTAGATTGAATCTACCGAACAACCGGCAGAAAAGCACGAATACAGCTTTTCTGCAGGCGAAACAAAGTCTTTTAACAGGGGGCCATAGTCCAGAGGCAGCAGGCGAGCAACCAGGCTTCTCCAATGCAATGTGGCGAGATTGGTCTTGTCACATGCAGTTTCAGTGATTTTCACTTTTCTGATATAAGAAAGGTATTTTAATATTGAGACACCATATAATTTAAGGGGATACTATAGTCACCAGAACAACCGCAGCATAATGTAGTTGTTCTGGTGAGTATAATCATTGCATTCAGGCATTTTTATGCAAACACTGCCTTTTCAGAGAAAAGGCAGTGTTTACATTGCCTCTAGGGCAGGCATAGGCACCCTGCGGCACTCCAGATGTTTTGGACTACACCTTCCATGATGCTTTGACAGCATTATTGGTGTAAGAGCATTATGGGGGATGTAGTCCACAATATCTGGAGTGCTGAAGGTTGCCTATCCCTGCCCGGGGACACCTTCAAGTGGCCATTCCTTAGATGGCCACTGGAGGTGCTTCCTGGTTCAGTGCTGTACAGTAGGCAGCAGTGCCGTTCAGGGTCTCCACACTCTGCATGGGGATGCTGAATTTTCCTCATAGAGATGCATTGATTCAATGCATCTCTATGAGGAGGTGCTGATTGGCCAAAGTGGCATTTGGCCCGCCCCTTGCTGATTTTAGCCAATCCAATGCTTTCCGTATGGGCGGGGAGGGGGCTAAGGAGGGGGGGGGGGGCAAAACACCTAAATGGTGGGTTTTCACTATAGGGTCAGGAATACATGTTTGTGTTCTTGACCCTATAGTGTTCCTTTAAAGGAACACTATAGGGTCAGGAACACAAGCATATTCCTAACCCTAGTGTTAAAACCACCATTTAGGTGGCTTGCACCCCCTTAACCCCCTTAAAAGGTAACAAAACATACCTTATTTCCAGCACTACATGTTTGTGTTCCTGACCTTATAGTGATCCTTTAAGTATGGATGTGGATACTAAACAACTTGGTTTAAATAACAGACAGTCTAAAATACTGTTACATGTATCAAAGCTATGGTATATAAAGTGATTGAAATAGGTGGAGGGTAAAAAATAGAGACAAAAAATAATCCAGAGGATTCTCTATGGGAATTGTTTATTTACTGTGAATTCCTTATACCAAGAGACGTATAACCCACTAATTGGTAAGTAATACATATTGTAGATGTGATAGATTCTGCAGGACATGTTGCTTTGATTAAATATAAAGGGACACTATAGTCACCAGAACAACTACAGCTTAATGTATTTGTTCTGGTGAGTAGAATCATTCCCTTTAGGCTTTTTGCAGTAAACACTGTCTTTTCAGAGAAAATGCAGTATTTACATTACAGGCTAGTGATAACTTCACTGGCCACTCCTCAGATGGCTGCTAGAGGTGCTTCCTGGGGCAGTGCTGCACAATGTGCAACACTACCATTCAGTGTCTCCACCGTCTGTATGGAGACACTGAACTTTCCTCATACAGATGAATTGATTCAATGCATCCCTATGAGGAGATGATGATTGGTCAGGGCTGTGTTTGGCTTGTGCTGGCTCAGCCCCTGATCTGCCTCCTTGACAATATCATCCAATGCAATGTGAAAGCATTGTTATTGGCTCAGACCACCACTTCTCATGATATCAGTCAAGCAGGCAGATCAGGGGCAGAGCCAGCATCTGCAGACTTGAATACAAGTAAGAGTTCACTATATTTAGAGAGACAAGGGTGGCCAGGGGAGCTTGATTGTGGTTTTAACACTATAGGGTTAGGAATACATGTTTTTAGGTGTAAATATTCTATACATTGAGAGTAAAGGGTCACTATAGTCACCAGAACAACTACAGCTTAAGGTATTTTATTTAAACTCTGTCTTTTCAGAGAAGAGTTTACATTATTACCTAGTAACACCTCTAGTGGCAGTAACTCAAATGGGTTGATTTAATACATCTCCATGAGGAGATGCTGATTGTCTGTTTTGCGCGTGTGCGCATTAGTCTCCCAATGCTTTCCTATAGTAAAGCATTGGATTTGCTAAGATTGTCAATTCTGATTATCTCAGCCAAGAAGGTGGATCACGGGCAAGGCCAGGAATAAAGGTAAGTTTCAACCCTATTTAAGGGGGATAAACGGGGGGGGGGGGTGTTTTTAACATTATTAGGTAAGTATTGCACGATTGTATTCCTGACCCTACAGTGTTCCTTTACATTATTACAGCCTCTTTGCTACAATTAAAAAAAAATATGTAAAGTAATATAGATCTACCCATGTGATTATTGATGATTTAAATAAAATGTTTAAACAGTATTATTAGGAGTTGATTTACACATTGGAGACACTCATACGTGGATAAAGACTGTAGGTAAGATAAATGTATATCTTACTACATTTTCTATCAAAATTAGGAGGAAAGCTTGAAAATATAGATAGTGGGTTACTTAGGGGGATATGAAGTTTGTCTGGACTTATGGGTTATGCTAAAACAATCATTATGATTACTGTTGGCAACATAATGTATTATTGTATGCGCAGATTAATTGGAAAAAGATAGACCGGGCATATCTAAAAGTTGGATTAGATAGTGATTGATTCATTTTCTAAAGTTTTCTGATTCTGATTAATGAATGATTAACTAATAATATTTGTATAATTGTATTATTTTATTGTGAAGATAAAATTTTTATTGTTAATACATATAGGTTTGAAATAAGATGAAAACAAAATTTCTAGGATCACAGTACTTTCTTCTGT